AAAAAATAAATAAATAAATTATTTAAATAAAAAAATGTTTACAAAAATTCACATTCACAAAAAATAACAAATAAAAAAATAATTATTTAAATTGAAAAATGTTTACAAAAATTCACATTCACAAAAAATAAAAATAAATTAATTATTTAAATTAAAAAATGTTTACAAAAATTCACATTCACTAAAAATAAAAATTAATTAATTATTTTAATTAAAAAATGTTTACAAAAATGTACACTCACAAAATATAAAAATAAAGTGTATTTATTACTAACAGCTGATTGTACTCAATTTAAATGATGTGCTCACACTTTTGCATGTTTTGTGAGCCTGAGAAAGATTATTGACCAAAATGTTGCTCATTAGAATTTCTCTGATTATGCAAACTTGAGTAGTGTGCGGGATCTATATATATTTTTTTATTTATAATGCATGCAATGCTAAAATGAATCCACGTTGCTTTGTTGTTGCTAGGGTCGCAAAGTGGTGGAAAATGTCAGGTAAATTTTCGGAAACTTTCCCAAAAAAAAGTAAAAAAAAACTTTTTTGGGGAAATGTTCTGCTCTTTTGCAACCTTAGTTGTTGATGACAGTGAATTGATTTAGCTCTACATGCTCTCACAAAATACTGAAGCGTTTATAAAATGCATCATAAGTGCACAACTGCAATCTAAATGACGTTAAATGTGTCGCAGAAGCTCACATTTCGCCTGTTTTTACATGATGTCACAAAATCTTTTGTAAAGATGTGAGGGTTTATGTAACTCAGAAGCTGATATTTGCGGTGATTGTGAGCATCAATGCTCTGATAAGTGATTTATTGCAGCACAGGATTGTTTATCGTTTAGTCTAATCTTCTGACAATCTGAACATGATTTGAAATTCTCATCAGTGATTTCCACTGATCTGGCATTTTAAGAACGGATTCGTTGTAGGTATATTTGTACGACTGGGTTTTTTAATCTCGATGTAAATCAAAAGAAATATCTTCCTCTGACTGGCTAATCTGTGAAATCGTTTCGTAACCAAGTCTTCGGCATTGCTTTCGTAACCAATGGTAGCGTTTCTCCTATCGGCTGTGGCGGTTTTGTGGCGTTTCTATAGGCGATGTATCGAACGGTTTTGAAGACAAAAAAAATTCTAGCTTCCTAGCAAACGATGATGATGGTGTGATTGTCGTCGGCGTGTCGTGTGTCAGGTAGCACTACTGCCCAATAATGAGGCTCCTGATCCTCTGGTGAATTTCTCTTCCACGAGGAGCGGCTCGTTCACGTTTGTTGTCGTTATGGTCGTCGTGGTGACTCGGTGTTAAAAGTGAACAATATGCAAATCAGCTGGCGTTAGGGAGGGGTCACGACCTCTCGGTAGGAATCTAGTTTTCTGTCCTTGAAGTTGTTGTCCGTGAATAATCGCAGCGATTGATGATGAGTGCTAGATTTGCCCAACAAGGGCTCTGAAACCGAGCGTTTAGTTTCATTTGAATCCCTGTTAGAAACAGTGCCACGTCCCACGAGGCCGAGCGAACGCTTCTCTTCTTTCTGAAGAAAATCATTCTCTTACTTAGTGCTTTTGTCTTTTCCTGTACAGAAGACACATTTACTATGGAAGAAAAATTAGTTAATTTTGATATGTTTTTGGGGAAATAATACTAATGAGTTTATAATTAAAACAAGAACAGTTATCTGCCAGTGGAGTCAGAAAAATCCACTTAATTCAAAGGAAAAACAAGATTTTTTTCATTCCCTATAGGCAGATATTTTTCTTGTTTTAAGCGTAAAATCACTTTTTCAGAAGATCAGAAGATCTAAAATCTTAATGGAGTTTATGCGTAAAACAAGAAAACATAAGCATCAACTCACTTAATTTTATGAATTTTTCAGAAAATAAGACTAAAGAACTTCAGTGAGTTTGTTTAAAGCAAGAACAAATGTGTGTCAGCAGGGTTAGAAAAATAAACCTAATTCAAAAACCCCATTGGCAGATATTTTTTCTTCTTTTATGCATAAACTTACTTAATTTTGATGCATTTTCCAGAAAATAAGGCTCAAAATCTTAAGTGAGTTTATGTTTAAAACAAGACAAAAATAAGGTCAAACTCACTTAAATTTTTGAAAATAAGACTTAGAATCTTCAGTGAGTTTATGTTTAAAACAAGACTAAAATCAGCCAATGAGGTCAGATAAATGATCTTGTTTTCCTATGAATTAAGCAGATTTATTTTTAGCATAAGCTCACTTAATTTTGAAAGCATTTTTCAGAAAACAGGACTTAAAATCTTTCAGTGAATTATGATTAAAACAAGAACAAATATCTGCCGACGAGTCAGAAAAATAAACTGAATTCAAATAAAAAACTAATTGTTTCCTTCCCATCAGCAGATATTTTTTTTCTTGTTTTAAGCATAAACTCACTTGATACTTTTTTTTTTTTTGAAAATAAGATTTATAATTTTAATTGAATTCATGCTTAAAAACAGTCCAAAAAAATGTGTTTTATTTCTGTGTTTTAGATTTTTTGGCAAATATTTGTTCTTGTTTTAATCATAAACTCACTTAATTTCTCAGACTTAATGTTTTGTATGCATCTCAAATAAATTCATGTTGGTCTTAGCAATCTTTAGACATTTGCACTGGAAAACAAGCCAAAAATACTGAGGAAGAGCATCTTTTGCAGTGCAATCCTGCCAAAGCTCTCAGACACACACCTCATCTGAATCTCTTTCAAATCTAAGATCTGCTGATAGTTCTTCATCATCGATGCAGCGGGTTTGTGACGGGATTCACCGCCGATTGATCATCTGTTGCCGGGCAAAGCGTGAACTACCTTTGAATCCTTGGCTTTGTCCTACTTCTCCCGCAAACTCTCATCTCAGACTTCCACATTATCTTGACTTTTATTCGCTCTTGTCACGGCCCGATGTGCTTCTGCTCGTTCTCTCTCCCGGGCCTCGTGGGACGCGCATTCATTTCAGGTTGAAGGAAAAAAACGAGTCTACACTCTCAGAAAAAAAGGTACAAAAGTGTACCTTTTAGGTGCTAATATTTACACTTTAGGTACCAATATGTATCTTTAGGTACTAATATGTATCTTTAGGTACTAATATGTATCTTTAGGTACTAATATGTACACTTTAGGTACTAATATGTATCTTTAGGTACTAATATGTATCTTTAGGTACTAATATGGACACTTTAGGTACCAATATGTATCTTTAGGTACTAATATGTATCTTAAGGTACCAATATGTATCTTTAGGTGCTAATATGTATCTTTAGGTACTAATATGTACTCTTTAGGTACTAATATGTACACTTTAGGTACTAATATGGACACTTTAGGTACTAATATGTTCTCTTTAGGTACCAATATGTATCTTTAGGTACTAATATGTACACTTTAGGTACTAATATGTATCTTTAATATGTATCTTTAGGTACTAATATGTATCTTTAATATGTATCTTTAGGTACTAATATGTATGTTTAGGTACTAATATGGACACTTTAGGTACCAATATGTTCTCTTTAGGTACCAATATGTATCTTTAGGTACTAATATGTATCTTTAGGTACTAATATGGACTCTTTAGGTACAAAGGTGTGCCTTTTGAAAAGGTACTGCCCCAGTGACAGCTTTCGTACTTTTTTTCTGAGCGTGCAGGATCTTCTCAGAGTTGATTTGTGCTGTTCGCATTGAAAGGTTTCAATCGTTAGCTCTTCATCCTGCTGCTAAACGGATGGGTTTCAGTGACTCTTCCTCGACTCTGATCAATAAAACGAGGAAAGAGCACTATTTATGTTCTCTGTAGGTGAAATAACATGATTTTAGACGCACTTC